AGGGGCTACAGGTAACTCTCTACGGCATAGTTGCTATACTAATAAGCTATGATCTTTGGTAGGTCAGGGTTAGGTTTTAGACCTAAAAATGTGTCCCCATATCTCCTGGTTCAGAGGTGGAGCTTCTGAAAGGTGATAATGGGGCATTCTTCTTTCTCATCAGTGGATTAATTTATAGAGTTTGTAGCTGAATGAAAAGCAAGGAGGTCAGGCCTGGTCTGAAGAGGTGGGCCACTGGGGTGTGACCTGGAAGAGTGTTTTCTTGTCCCTGGTTCCTCTTTTTTCTCTTTTTGTTTCTGTTTCGTGAACATCATGGATCGAGCACGTTTCTCTGCCATGCCATGCCACCATTCCATTTCTGCCTTGAAGCCAAACAGCCATGTGCTGAACCTGTAAAACCCATGAACCAAAATAAACCCCTCCTCCTCTAAGATGTAGGTTGTGGGTAATTTGTCCCAGTGACAAAAAAGAAACTAATACAATTAGATGTATAGTTTTGACTTAAAGTTTTCAGTTTATGTTGGGTTTCCTGGGAAGCAACTCCACAGACATGGAAGAGCAACTGTACACTGGAAGTCCATAAAATCACATATGAGTCAATGGTAAGATTGCCAATCTTAAATAAACTTCCTCAACTTTATTCCTTCAAACATAACTGTGTCTATTTCTTTTTAATTCTTTTTGGTGAGACAAGGTCTCACTATGTATTTCAAGATGACCTTAAACTCACTAGGACAGGCTGGCCTCACCCTCAGGGGCATCCTCCTGCCTCAGCATCTCAAGTGCTGGGATTATAGGCGTGCATCACCATACTTCAGCTAACTGTGTCTGCTTCTGAAGCTAATGTCTCCTGTGGGATGCTAAAAATCATCTCAGCTAATATTAAATAAATTAAGTGCATTTGAAGATGGATTTGATTTTGGAAATAGCTCAGACAATGTGAAGCCAGGCCAGGTGAAAAGGTTGGTCACTGAAAATGAATAATGTTGGACCATTTTCGTCATGTGTCTAGTTGTGTATTCATTTGTGAAACTAATTTTGTTGCCTTTATTTTGTCATATAGCAATAACAGAAAAGTTGGATTTTTTGTTACTTTCTTTTCTTATCTAAGCAATATAAAGAATAACTACAATCCTACCATAGCAAAAAATTGGTAAAGTTGATAAGGTCACATCTATAAAAAAAATCCCTGTGACTAAGCTATTGCGCCAATAGAAAAGACTCTCACCTTGCTTCTGGGTCATATATAAGCCCTCACTCACCTCTGCCACACTTCTTGGCATAGGTGTGTAGGAGGCAACTCCTAGAACTTTCAATTCAATTTCAATTATATTTGCCTGGTTGTTTTTGCTATGCATGAAATCTAAGTAAATAACACATAAATACAGATGAAGGCACATAAACATAACTGATAAACTTTCAAAAATCTGTACAGCAATAGGGCTTTTAATGAAAGTGAAGACTTAAAGTGAAATTCATCCAAAATAAATTTCTATGTGGTTTTAAAAATCTCATTTAAGAATGAGTGAACAATTAGATGATAGACTACTGAATTGTCCCATTCTTTTGTTTCAAACAATTTCAGTTGTCTGAAAGTTCTGACATAGTCAATATTGCTCCAAATATTTTTGGGAAATTGCTCTTCCTGTACACATGAAAGCTTTCAAATTGGCAGAAATGAAAGGCTGATGTCAAGCAGTCACTCTCAAGCTAGCATGCATTCCACTGGGGGTTTGATCCCGCCTGGCAGAACCACACCCATTGCTTCACTCAGCACTGTCTGCACCAAGTCCTACACTTACAAAACCTCAGATCTGTTGGGGGTCAGAGGCACAGAAATAGTTACAATTAGACACAGGTGCAAGTTTTGTGGGCCAAAAGCTTACACAATTTTAAGGTCTTCTGTAAGAAAAACTATGAATAAAAATTAGGTGTGAAAGTAAAAATTTTACTTAGAACACAAGCAGAAATAATTAATTCAAGAAAGATGACAAACTCCACACACATCTCCCAACCCAAAAAACAATGCAACACTTTTAAATTAACTGCCTTTCATATTCTCTATTTTCTTAAAGTTGTTTGCTGACACTCATTGATCTCTTCATGTTGCAAAAATTTTTAAATATTTTCAATCAAAAGAATAGAGGATAACTGAGCATTTCCCTGGGGGGGGGCTTCTTTTTATGGAGAAATTAGATTTTTTTCCACACTCAAGTCCATTCTTGTCAGGGGCATGGTAAACTACGTGACACACAGAGGCAGTGGATGATTTAGTATTACTTTTGATTTACGCTCCATAAACACAGAAATTCTAATAAATGCTATTACTTACAATTGCTCTCAAAAAAAGAAAAAAATTATGACTGTTTACTTTGATTATAACAGTTGTATTATTGAGTATATAATACTAGCAGGAGAGAACTTCTGTTTTGATTAGGCAACAGTGAGGATGGAGCCCACCATTTAGAATTTCTCTGTGTAATAGTTGGAAGAATTTTCCAGAGTTTAGCTCTGGCTTCACACATTCACATCTTGTTTCTCTACAGTAATGGTGAACCTTTTAGAAACTGAGCGCCAAGCTACAACCCCAAACCCAGTTATTTATTGCAAAGTGCCAACAGATACAGAGATTTTAGCTGAGAAAAACAACTCTATATTAACTTCTTTTGTTTTAAAAGGAAAAACAGAGCAGCATGTGTGCCATGGGTGTGCTACCACTGCTTTAGAGGGTGAGTCTGCCGGGAGACAGGGGCAAGATATAGCTTTGCTTTAAAGAGGTAAAGACAAAACAAAACAACTGTAAGTAGCTCACCACGGGGAGGCCTGAGTTCTCCTCTAATGTCAACATGACATCATGACGACCCTTTCTGGTGACCCTCAGTGGGTTCCAGCACAATTACTGTAGAATGCTCCATCCTTGTATCTCCCCATTTCTCTGCTCTCCCAGGTTCTTCAAGATTCACGATACTCCCCACCTTAGGACAGCGTGCTCCTTCCCAGTGTCTCCCTGGGAGGCTTTTTTCATTCTCTAAGCCTAAATATCACCTCCTTGGAGAGCCCTTTATTCACCATCCAATTTAGAGTAATCATCTGTCTTACGCTCTACCTCAGCTTTGATTTGTTTCCTATAACATATGTTAATTTTTGAGTTATCTGTGTCTCTATGAATGCATTTGTTCATATTATTTACCTGCTTCTGACATTCAACTAATAACTTCCAAGGAGGTGGGGGAGGAACTAGGTTGATCTCACTTCTAACTCTGTCCCTGTGCCTCCCACATAACCTGGCATGTAACACGTTACACCATAAAAGTTTTGTTGAACTGATTGAACAAAAATACTGTATAAATTTCACCTGTGCATTACTTCATGAAAGAAAAATGGGATTCCAAAATAACTACATAAATTCTTAATATTTATTAGAAGGTAAGGAGAAATATTTACTTGGTCTTACTTTTTATCTCAAAAATTTAACCAATATGTGTCTGAATCTTGCAAATTATTTTCAGTGATTTTATACATAAAGTATTAATACACTTTTCACCTGGGTTAAAAGTCCTTCAGTGTCTAAACTAGCTGGAAACATGCTAAGTATTTTTAAGTTGGTTCCAATGCACATTTTCAAGTAGCACTTGTAAATAAATGCTAAAACAGAACTCTGATGTTAATATCTGAATGTGCAAGTGACATGGATCTGGGCCCTTTTGGAAAGAAGTTTGTATTTAGGTTGGTGTGGGCTTTAAAAAATTCTGTTATATTTATTTAGCTTATACTTAATAAATTTTATACACATTTTAATTTCTCTTATATTTTTCCTTGGTACAGCTTGTGTTGCAAAGTGGAGTTTGCCTGGCAGTCTACTTAAGTGACAGGTGAAGCATACAAAGCACTAGAGAGACACTTGAAATTCAGCACCCTGTGGAAATCACACAGGAGTTTTCCATTTTTAAATACTAGAGTTATACTTTGGCTCAAATGACCACTATAGCAAGTAAGACAGATGCCTTTTGCTGCTGGATAGAAAAGTTAAGCTAACTTGAAAACAATAGATTAAGCAACAATTTGGACCCTAAAGTCTTTAAAAAATGACTTAGTTTTCATAAGCTGATAGGGCAATGGCATGATAAAAATGAGTTTCTTTGTTTTCCATGTAATCTTCAGAAGTTATAATTTCAAATTTTTTTTGTATAAATTACTTCAAAGGATTAAAAAATAAAACAGTCTTTGGTTTTCTAGATGTGGCGTTATCTAAAAGTAAAGCTTGGTTGTGGAGGATATTTTTTTCTTTTCATTGGCATTCACATGAAAGTTACATAAAAGTACAATCAAAAACATTTTATATTTGATTTCTACTTCTGGTTTCTACATTTTGTAAATTGCTAGAAAATTTTCTGAAACAAAATGAGTGAGAGTTGACAACTGAATTTTCATTAAAATATATCTAAGTGCAAGTGGCCCAGTGGCACTGACGCAGGTTATATGAGTGTCCACAGCTGAAAGGCTATGTTTAGAATCTGGTCAAAGCTGCTGTAAACCACTGCAGAGAAAGCAGCTGAAGGAGAGCACAGCTAGTCCATTTTCATATTTAGTTTTGAAAGACAAAATGGAAGGCAAAAAAGGGCAATTCTTTTACTCATTTAATGATCACCACTACTTATGACATTTAATAGTAACCCAGGTCATCCTGCCATCCAGTAGGTTTTTGATGTAAATGCCTGTCTGTGCTCCTGTGAATCTGAGAGTAAGTCAGGAATGAGAAACTGCCCAGTGGCCATTTACTTAGTACCCACAACAGTACAAAGAAGGCTCTGAGGATTATTTCCCGCAATAGAAGCAACAGTTCTTTCGCTCAGATCGGATACCTTCTTTCTGTACCCTTCAGATCTGCTGGGAGGCTGTGCCCTCTCCTTCCCTTCGGCTGACTGCTACCTCTAACGCCAGCTTGGGTGGCTAAGGCCCCCGGGTACAGGCAGGGCGGTGCTGGGCAGGGCTGTACCCACCTGAGGAACACGGAGCCGGAGCTGCTCACTGAGCTGTGCGGGGCCTCTGCACCGATGTTCTTGGGGCTGGCTGGAACATCAAGCCGGAATACCGAGTCTTTGTAAGACAGCCTTTTCTTCACCATTGTACATCTGTCCACCACCAAGTCAAGGAGTTAGCTCAGAGTCTCATTTCCAAAGCTGCTAAATCGAGTGAAAAGCTGTTTCAGCTCTGCACCGTTCCTGCTGTAGAGGAAGTCTTCAACTGACTCGAAATCTAGCTGAGACCGTTTTGGTTTTTTTTTTTTTAAGTCAGTTAATGAGTAACAGCATGGCAGGGTGGCTTTCATCCTACCGACATTTGCTCTAGAAAATAAGCACAAGTGTTTGAGAAATTCAACTTTCAGTTTACTAATATGAGCACTACTAAATCTGTGGATTTAGGCAAAAAAAAAAATCTCAGAAAAGAAAGCACTTAATGAACACAGAGTGATGAGAAGCAGGGGCTGGTGGCACCCAGGTATTACAAGCAGGACTTTTTTTCTAACCAACTGAGTCTGACCAGCAGGGTGAGGAATGTGGTGTGCATTATGCCTCTGCCCACGTGGGAACCCATCAACCCACTCAGTGGGTTTTGCAGCTGAAGTTTGGTAAGATGCACAGGAAGTCCCGGCTGCACTGTTTGTTCTTTGGAACCCAAAAGGTTATAGATTCTTTAAAATTTTATTTTAAAGAGGATAAAACCAAGGGAAATAAAACTGAATAAAACCAATCAAAATAAAACAATATAAGTGATGATACAGGACTTTAAAAACTTTATGAATTCGAAAAAGGACTTGCAGGAGAACATGGAGGACAGATAGCAGCAGCTACGGAGGCTCTCTGAAACACCCAGCTTAGAATTCAGGAGTGGTGCGGAGTAAGGAATCATAAGCAAGTGGAGATATGCCCTGCTGACCCAAGAACAAACTGGGCTGAGAGAAACCAACTGGGAATTCAATCCTGGTGCTATAACAGGAACAGAAAAGCCTCAGTGTGGAAGCTGGAGCCCGCGCCATTGGAAGCTGTGATTTGGGTTTCCCGCTGTCGCTGCTGCGTCTGAATCAGCTCGGCAGGGAGAGAGACGCACAAAAGCTGAGAACGGGATTCAGTGAACAGAGTTGATAGCAGGACCGGTGGGGAGCCGTGCATTGACCTGCGGTGAGTGAGAGAAACTGGAACTCTTCCACGGTCTAGGAGACTCCAACAGAGGACATTCTGGGATGGGGCAGACTTGCGGGAACAGGGCGCTGCAGTGACTTCAGTCACGTATCCCTCTCCAAAGTGGGATTGGTGAGCAGTGCCTAGCCTATGTGATGCTGCTGGCTGAGACCCACTAGGCTAGCACAACCCAGGTCCAAGCACCTGAAGGTAGATTGACCTGGAAGGGCGGCCCCGCATAGGCTGCCTGGTCTGCAACTTCCTGGTGCACTGCAGTGGGTGGGAATCCCCAGCCTGCGCAATTCAATCAGACTGTGGCGGACAGGGAAGGAAGCTGGGCCTCCTATATATGCTTGCATATATAAGGAACAAAGAATACCGGAAGAGGCAGTAACAAGAAAGGCTCCTCGGCCCTCAATCCTGAGAAAGAGGCAATAGCAGACACAGCACCAATAGATATAAAGCACTATCTCGAGAGCCTCATAGACAAGTTCAGGAATGAAGTTATTAATGACCTGAAGCTACACATAAGCAGAATAGTTAGAGAAATGCTAAGCATCACCCAAGAAAAAACAGATGGTGGAATGGAAGAACAGAAAAAGAGGGGAGAATTGTTTGATGGAGAAAATAGAGAAAGCATAGAATACATGAAGCAGGTTCAAAGAGATTACCTGGAACTAAAAACTCTATTGAAAACTGGCATAACAGCTTGAAAGAAACTAAGGACAGATTATCTGAACTGGAGGGCAGATTTGTAATATGGGAGAAGGAAATGAAAAACTTCTTAAAAATAACAAAGAAACAAACAGCAATAATACAAAGACTAAAGATGATAAGAGGATCTATAACTTAAGAATTAAGAACATAAAAGAAGAAATAGGGACACAAACAAATGAACTACAAAAGCTACTCACAGAAATAATCCAGGAGAATTTCCCTAATTTAGCAAAAGGTAAAGATACTCAGTTGTATGAAGCATACAGGACCCCAGCCACCTACAACCCAAACAGAGCAACACCCAGGCATATAATAATTAAAATTCCAGAAATCCAATACAAGAACAAAATATTAAAAGCCATCAGAGACAAAAAACAGATCACTTACAAGGGAACACCCATCAGAATTACAGCAGATTTTCGGCACAAACCATCAAATCACGAAGAGCGTGGGGGGAAATAATTTAAGCTTTGAAAGATAATCATCTCCAGCCAAGATTGATATATCCTGCACAGATATCCCTGGCAATTGATGGAAAAACAAGGTGCTTCCAGGATAAAGAGGAACTAGGGGAATATGCAACCACCAATTCAACTCTACAGAGAATACTGCAGGATATTCTAAAAAAGAAAAATACGAAGAATCCAGAAATAGTGGCAGAGAGGCCACAATGAATGGAGCAGAAAACAAAATGAAGAAGACAAACTGACAACTAATGACAGAAAAAGAGCTCAACAGAAATGAGGCAGAGAAGATTGGATGATAGGAACAGCTATTTTGGAGAAAATGACGTCTTAAGAGGTAATACTGATTTAGTATCATCTTGTTTTGAAGTCTCATCAAGCTTTTGTTCTTCTGTCTCCATTGGTCTAAACAGGTTGTATCTTATTGGATTTTATTATATATGACAGTATAAGCAAAAACTTTTATAGACAAGGAGATTATACAGAAACCATTGTTTATTTTCTGTTAGTTGATTCTAAATACCCTGTAATACTGTCATTCTCTTAAATGGTTTTACATTGTTTTGATATATTTGATGCTACAGTATACGAAGTTACACTCAAAGATTTCAAGGAAAGACAATATGGTAACTACTTTTATGTCGGGATAATCTTGTGGTGAAACACTATTTTGCTTAAATGGTTATGTTTTGATCTGCGCTGTTTTGCTGTTATGCCCTCTTTTATCTCAATCTCCATGTTATTATTTACTTCTTTATTTTTATCCCTTAAATTAAGGGAAAAATAAATTTTAAAAAAGCAGGATATATTATAGTAACCCACTTTGACTTTCCATTATCTTGATTTAAAGCACTGTATTGCTCTCACTATCTTATTTTGACTGATGTCCCTCTATTCTGTTTTGCTTGATAGTACCAGATTTGAAAGTTTAGGCAACAGCTGTGAAGATAGTGGGATTCATTATGACGCCCATTCTGGTTGACTATTATCTACTTTTGAAGACCTGTAATGTCTCCAATGTTTTGGTTTTGTTGGTTTTATTCTTTATTGTTTTGTTCAATTTTATTATAACTGATGATATAGGCAATTCTTTTGGAGATAGTGGGAGGCATTATGGTAACCATTGTTGATCACCTTGTATTATGTTTTTACATTATCTATTATGTCCACCCTTTTGATTTGGCTGACTCTGTTCTGTTATGTCACATTGGTTCCACTCTCTTCCAAAAAAGTAATAAGAACTGTGGGAGCAACAAAACCCAAAATGTGTAATTGTCATTGTACAGAAGAGAGGAAAAGAAAGTGCTCTAAATGATATAACTGCATGTATATTTATGTGTATAAGATAATGATATTACTGAGTTTTGTTGGAACATTGAACAGATCTGTTTGCAGTCTCACTGTTCGAATGTCCACTTTGTGAGCTTTAGTTTTGTGGCTTGAACAATTATATCTAAGATGACAATATGTAATCCATTAACTAGTGATTTCCTGTTTATTTTTTTCTATAAATCTGTATAACTTGTACCCTTTTTCTGCTTTTTTTCTTTTTCTCCTTAAATAAAATTAAAAAAAAAACTTTATGAATTCAACAATAGTTACCATAATGCTTTGTTGTCTTCAAAATAGCTGCAGATACCTTCTGACATAGTAAAAAAATCAAACAGAACAGAATAGAATAGAAACAATAAAAACAAAACAATGAATGCAGTAAAGGACTTCAAAACAAGCCAATAGTAAATCCAAATGGCTAGCATAATATATCTTGCTATCTCTTAAATAGCTGCTCCTGCCATCAGATTTAACATAATCAAGCAAAACAAAAAAGAATAAAATCCAACCCAACAAAACAATGAAAATGAAATGGTTTCCAGGCAGGGATCGCTTGAGAACAAGGCCCTTGAGAGGCCTTGTTCTCTCCACCCACAGTCCTCCAATGGCGCTAAGTCACAGAGAGAGGCTCAGGTCTGGCTGTCCTCACTCCACAGTGGCCCATTCATGGCGCTGCTTTCCAGGTGGGGATCTCCTCCTCAAAGTTCTGGACTCTTAGGCACATGACACACAAAGAATCAATCTCAACATTCAGGCTCTGTATTTAGCTGGGCTACAAGGTGCTATAAGCTGTAACCAAAGTGGCAACAAAGGCAGACAAATAGGCAAGCACTAGGGGAAAGAGTTGGAGGCCCATCTCTTGTCACTTGCTGGCTAGGCAGCCACAGATGGTCCCAGTCTTGCAGGGACAATAGGATTAGAATAAAATTATCTAGACGATTATCTTCAACTACAATGTTCATGCAGAGGAAAACATCAGTGTCCTCCCACCAATGTTTCTAGCAGCAGCAAAGAATTTGTTCTAAAGGGGTTTTGCTCTCTCTCCTTGTAGCCTTTGTGAGCAGGTGGTGAGACTGGAGAGTGACTGGTTTAAGAGAAGTAAACAGGTTCTGATGAGTTGCAGGGAAATGGAACCTTTAGACCCGGGTCCCATTAGCACTTTGTTCTGACCAGTTGATAACTACACTGAGACAGGACTGCGCTGCTGTGTGCTTGACGCGGAGACACTGGAAATCAGACAACGTGGGCCTTTCTGTGTGATTTTCCTGTTGCCTACTGGGGAGACCAGCTTATCTCTCATACCTAGGAATTTTCTTTCTTTTCTTTCTTTCTTTCTTTCTTTCTTTCTTTCTTTCTTTCTTTCTTTCTTTCTTTCTCTTTTTCTGTTCCTTCTCTTCTCTCTTCTTGCACCAAATGCTCTGCATCCTAGGAAGCTTTGGTGGTAGGTAAACAGTGATGGCCAGACACCCTAGTGCTGAGTTTCCTTTCTGGAACCTGACCCAGCTTCCCCCTTGCCCTTCCTTGACAGGCACTATATGTCTTTCTCTTTT